TTTGAAACACATGTTGATAAGAAAAACACACTGCCAGTAGTCAAGGTTTGCTATGAGAACATGATAGAATGTCTGTCGCAAAAAGGGATGTTGTGCAACGGGAAGACGGTGACAAAGACAATGTTAAAGAAATCGACAAGGAAAACGGGATCAAAAACCCTTAAAATTGGAATTGGCTTGAACATGAAGTCGGGAATGAGTACCTGCATGAACACATTCGTAAAATCAAGGAACCGGGCAAGGCTTACTGCGTGCTATGCCACCAAGATATCAAGTACGGATCAGGCGGGAGGACGCGTTTGGTGGACCACATATAAGGAAAACATTCTGAACGAGTGTAATTAAAGTTGTTGTATTACAGATTGCCAAGTAGATCTAATCATTTATGAAATAATTTTGTTTAGATTCTGATTCAAGTTTAAGATGTTAGATCAGATTTACATTTTTTTAACTTGTATTTTGATTAAGAGATGAATTAATGTGCAATTATTAGATATTTCAAGGAGGGCACAGCAGCAGGGTGTAAGTTGACTTAGGTCAGACACCATTAAGATGTCATAAAAAAAAAAAATTAAGTTAAAAGAGAAAACTTATGTATTTTATGTGGCAAAATAGACCAAAACTAGTAAAATTTTTACTTATTAAGAACCATTAATAAGTATTTCAGGAAATACTCAGAATATACCATATTACGTCTTATATTGCTTGGTGTCTGGAGCCCTGCGCCCCAGGCTTACACTGAGGGGCTGTGCCCCCCAGATGCCCCCTTAACTTTCCTTGGATTTTCTCTTCCTCATTTCACAGCCCTGCGATCGGAACAGCCCTAATTTTAATACATAATTGCCAACCACTTTTTAGTAATTAGAACAGCGTGACGATAGATTTGAAACTTGAAAATTTAGACGGTAACATTTTTTGATTTAGAGTCTGCATCAGGGTCTTCTGAATTCAACTTGGATACCGCCAGCCTTAGTAATCAATCCGAGCACAAGACAAGTATCTAAGTATACATTACAAATTGTAACCCCCAGGACCAATGGCTCCGTTGTCATTGAAAGCCTTGATGTGATTCTTGTCTCTGTTGGCTAAAAGATGCATGAGGAGCTGCTTTGCTATCTGTACTCAGCCTTAAGCCTTAATGAATACGCGGATTGACCATCGCGGCCACAGTGAATGGGAAGCCTTGTGTAATCTATGCCAGCAGATCCCCGTGGTGGTCCCAGATAACACCGGCAGTTTTTCACCTGTCGTAGAGGATAGGTTGGCTCTTTATTGAACACACACAATGGAGAAAATGAGCCTTTTCACGATTGATCACCAACGATGGCAAAGTATCCTTTACGCAACTTAACTGACTTTTGAAGTCAGCAACCTTATAGTAAGTCCACCAAGGTTTAATTTATGACAAATATATTAACTATGAGCAGCACGGTGTCGACTGGTTAGCACGTAGGCCTCACAGTGCAGGAGATGCAGGGTTCAGATCTGGCTCCGGCCTTAAATGTCCGACTTTCATGATATGATTATCACTGTAGTGCGAACCTTTTACATTTTCCATAAAATTCACCTGAAAGCCAAATATCCCGAACTTTTTGTGAGTAGTTTATATGTTTATGATGTGTATATCATGTGCAATAAATAATGACACAAGTGTAAAAACAATTAACAAACATTGGCCCGTTATTGTGGGCGATATTTTAAAGGTCATAAATGGCTGGGCCCTAAAAAAAATTCCCAAAAAACTCCACGATACAGGTGAGCACTGCATCCCCTTTCTATGCGTGATTCATGTCAGCGTTGAGCCCTGATCCGCATCGGCATCCTGGAATGTTCTTTTCTTCTTGTGGGGACCACCTGTATTCCTGGAAGGATTAGTTTGGGAAAGGAAGCCAAGGGGGCAGGGAGATTAGATGTTATGTTTTCGAGTTTTAGGTCACTGACGACATTCTTGCTCTGAACACTCTTAGCTGGAATTGACCAATTCCTTGTGGAAAAATGTGTTTTTATCATTATTGAATAGATGTTGGAGCTCTGAGTGAATTGGCAGTGTGCTACATTAGCTATTAGCTAGCTCCCATTCTTGTTGGCTGGATGGAACTCTGAGCCGGCCAGCGCTGGTGTTGACCAACCTTTGTGAACAATTGATGTGGATCTTCCTTCTACTATCTGCACTGTTTTGACAAGCACATGTTCTTATTTATGATCGTCTTTTTGTAGTAATGTGAACGAAGTATTCCTACACATGGCCACATGCTGGCTGCATTCATACACCCTCACCAAGGCAAATATTTACAAGCGGTTTTGCGGCGATTGTGTCACTCTGACAGCTAAGATAAACAACATTAAAAAAAAGCAATGCTGGAAATGGAAAATCTGGTCTCCTTTACATTCCTTCCATACAACCAATCTCAAAACTATTGGGGAGCTAAGCCATAATTGATGGTTTGACATATTTCTTCTCCCTTAGCTTGCTTGAGTGCTAGTGAAGGCCCGTTCATTGTCTTGTAACTGTGTAAGGCTGCCATCTAGTGGACGCTATTATAGATATCATTACACTAACCTTATCGAAGGACAAATAAAACAGATTTTATAAGTCACACGTTGTATTTTTCCTGGATCATCAGAACAATAAGAAATTAAAGTCAAGGTCTAGCAAGGGAAGAAAATCATTAACAGAACTTTATACTTGTAATAATAAGCCTTTTATTGAGGACATTGTCCATTTATTCTTGAAAAAGGGACTACATTCTCTGAAAAACACTTCTTTGATTTTCCATTTAAAGGACTTTATTCCTGTATATGGGTGGGCTCTGTATTCTTGGAAATCAGGTGCAAACAACATTTTTTTTTAATTGATGAATCTGACCATAATTGTCAATTGTTGAATCAGATTTTTAAAAAAAAGTTTCAATTTCCATCCCTTGTTTGAACAGGACAGTGCAGAAAATGCACAAACAATAATTATGATTGAGTCACTGGTCTGGTCCGTAACATTTTTGAAAATAAACAAAGATGTTAATCATCGTTTTCCAAAGTAAATGTTTTATTTTGATTCAACTCAAAGATGACCAAATCCTTTTTCTTGGAGATTGCAGAAATCAGGTAGTTACTATGGAGAAAAAATAAAATATAGCACATGTCTGTGATGCTGCTTAACAGTTACATCTGACTTTTTAATTGGGTCAAAGCTAAGGTAGGAGGGCTTTTGGCGTAAATCAAGGTTTATTGGTGTGCTGTCCGTCATATGCGCTGATTTTAAATTATATGAAACTGTAGTTTTATTCCATATTGTTTTGTGGACCCCTAAGCTACAAGTCATGGACCCTTGTCAGTTTTGAGATCCACTGATTCATGGACAAAAAAGTTCAATCTTAAATAATGTTGCAATCTTTTAGCACCCAGAGAATTGCGGAAACAACACTTTGTATGCCGATAACGTGATAAATATAGTTAACTTGCAGGATTAGCATGAAATCCATTGAATCAAGTCACTATTTGTTGAGAAAATGTAAGTTAAATACTTTGAACCCCAAATTTCATTCTGGTTATCCTCAAGGATGAAGTTGCTCTGTGTGCCAGCAGATGGCAGTAGCTGACTAAACCTCATTGAGTTTACATTGTGGACATGAGGTTCAGCTTTGTCGTGGGAATGTTGGGGAGTGGGTGATGTATGCGAGCCATCCGCTCTGGAATGAAGGAATTTATTACAATGTTGACTTCATCGCAGGACTTTACTTTTTGACCCCCTTTTGAAGAACATGCCACCATCAAATGCTTTCAACAGGATTGGATAACATAGCATCCCATGGACAGGAGTGTGTGTGTGTGTGTGTGTGTGTGTGTGTGTGTGTGTGTGTGTGTGTGTGTGTTGCTGAAATGTCACAGGAGAACTTGATATGTTTGCCTTTTACACAGAACCGAGCAAGAGAATATATTTAGAGCAGGGGTGGGCAATCCCAGTCCTGGAGGGCTGCTATCCTGCATGTTTTCCATCTGTCTCTTCTCCAACACACCTGATTCAAATGATCAGATCATCAGCAAGCTCTGTCGAGGCCTGAACAATTGAATCAGGTGTGATGCAACAGGGACAGATGGAAAACATGCAGGATAGCGGCCCTCCAGGACTGGGATTGCCCACCCCTGATTTAGAGGGTATGTATAAGATACTGTATGTATGATGTATCAAGTATTAAATCAATTTTACCTGAACTGAATTCGAATTTGACATGTTTTTCCCTAAGATTAGTCACTTCCTTGACACAATTACTACTTTTCCTTTTAGCCAGGGCTTTTGCTGGCATCTCGGGGCCCTTGTGGAGCGTTACAGGAAGAACACAAACATGTGAATTGCTCAATTTTCCCACACTTAGCTGAGGATACATTCCACAAGAACAAAAACAAACCAAAAAATTGTGAATAGCGAACTTGCGAGTAAGTGATCAAATACATTTCAATCACTTTATTAAACAAACGGTAAAGAAAACTACCGATCGTCACTCAACATGCAGACTCGGTTAACTCATGTTAATCAGTGGGGCAATTCGTAGAATGCTTAATTCTAAAAATAATCAAAAGCTGTAGAACCCAATAACTACAACCATTGACACTCGCACGCACACACTCGGTCAGTGGCCCAGTGTGTTTCAACACACAGTGGAGTGTTTCACCTCCTTTGGATCCGGTCCCAGAACTCACTGGTTCACTTTCTAAAGACATTGAATTGTGAGTTAATATGCATTCACTCCCCCCACTACAACATAGTGTTCACCCAACAGTTTGTTCACTTGTAAATGTGTCTATGAGTCAGCGGCTTTTTGGTTTGGTTTATGTCTCAATGTGCTTTTGTCCACATGGGGGTGCTGGAGAAGCGCTTTGTCATGGAAATCATGGAAAGCAAATGAACACCCCCCCATCTTAAAAGCTTTATTTTCATGTTTAGGTGGCATCTTCACCTGCCGACAGGTCCGGTTTAAATGGGGAATTTTCTGTGTTTTTCTTAGGACCTGGAGATCGTCTACTCCTACCTCCATGGAATGGAGGCTTTGTCCAACCTGCGGGAGCATCAACTCAGGTGGGCATTGCATATTACCTCATTCAAAGTCAGCACCGTTTCTAGATATATTTTAGCTGTAAGAGGAAAAGTTATTGTATTGTAGTGCAGTATCACTGATTCCACTTTTTTGAGTTTTAAGTGCTGCGATATGAGTACTGATGCTTGATAATACCATTGTTTTGCAAATGTGATAAATGTTATTTTAACCAAATATTGTTGAAATAATTTTTTTTCTTGGACAAAGCTCACTCTGATATCACACTTTTGAGGAGTTACTGGTCAGAGAAGACAACTACTGTCTGTGCATAAATTGTCCAATCCGATCGATCAGCAACGTTGTTTGTTAATTTGAGTGCTGACTGCTAATTTTGACATTTGACATCTGATAGAATTCACTTACCTTTTCATTTCTATGGTTTAAAACGGAATTGGTAAAGGCTAATTAATCTACGGACACAGATTATAGAAAATCATTGAAAATATCTGATGTATTCTATTTTGTTTGCCGAATTGCAGGACCAGACAAATCATGAAATAAAGTGGGGAAATATACTTTAAAAGATAACATATCCTTCTGGGGAGTAAACGTGACTTTCCCCTTATCCAGTGCGTTTCCAGCATCCCTCGTGTTTGTGCATACATGTGGATTATCCCATTAAGGGAACAATGTAAAGTACATGACCTGTGAGCTGGAACATTCCACGCTGTGAGTGACCCTTCCCAGCACTCACTTTCCAGTCAGACACCACACAAACCAGAGACTTATGTGAAGGATCTTATTTTTGAGTGCTGTTTTATTTCCCCACACGCAGGCGTGTGCATGCCCCTCAGCTATGTTTTGATGTGCTGCCTGTAGGTTACAGCACAGACTATGATATTTCACAGTCCTTTCTTGGGTGGGATCCTGATGCGGATGACATTCTTGGGGTCACGTGGTAGGCGGGGCAGGGGGGTGCCTTTGGATTCCTACATCCGGGAATTCATTATCCCAGAGAAACATTAGTTGGAATGAATCAGTTTTATTATGAAAGAATTGCTTTTAATTAAATACGGTCAGAGAATGCCATTTCTGTCGAAATTGCATGTGAATGTGGAAAACTTTTTATTTTAAGGCCGTATTGCCCAGTCCTCGTACAAAGAAAAGTAGAAATGCAATCAAGTTTGATGGATGAAGGTATTACATCTTTCCCTGTATGTCTTCTAATAAGAATTGCTCAGACATCAACATGCTAATGGTAGGTATGCTAACATACAGCAAATAGTAACTTGAGAATCGAACTGTTATGGTTTAAATTGGTTGAGAAATGTGGAAAGATTATGTTTTTAAAAAAATCAAAACGTATGCATTGGTTTGGAAATTTGTCTTTAAAATCTTCTCTAGCATGTTTGAGCCAGAAGAATTTGCCAGTTTTTGAGAAAAATTGGAAAGATGTAAAAACCAAAGAAAAGAGTATACAGCCATCTCGTTACCTCTGCGTCCCGCGTCCTAGGCGCATAATTTTCCCGCGGGACGCACAGTTCCAAATAATGTGCGTTTTTGGGATGCAAGGAAATTTCTCAGTCAAAACAAAAAAAAAAAAAAAACCTTTGGCAGGCCTGAGGATTTAACGATTGTTACCGGTAGCGTGTCGTTTCCGTGGCGTCATTTTGACGGTACCGAAAAATGGTTTCCCAAAAATGCCACCGCACACGAGTTGACTGTACGCGATCGAATCTCTCCTGCGTGATCAACGCGATTTCACTGTGCCTGCATCCGTGTTTGTGGTGTGGTGTGGTGAGTGTGTTTCTTCTAATTTACTTTCGTTTTGTTTTGTTTTCAGTGTTGGCGGGGCGGAACAGATAACGTTGTGTGTGCATGCGGGTTGCTATTTTAGTCCACAAACTGAGGAATCGCGCGGATGACAGTTTGAGATGGCGGCGAAAAAAACACACAAAGGTCTACTAAATACGACATTTAAGAAATGGGAAAGCCAGTCTGATTTTTCGTTTGAATCGTCCGAAGGGCGTATCACTAAACTCACCTGTGACGTATGCACAGAACGCGAGAGCGAGATATGACGAGAGGCACGATTACGAGGCAAGTTGGTCATTAGATCTATAGGCTAGTCGCTATGAAAAATATTATGAAACAGTCTTGGTTATTCTATAATTTACTGGTTGTAGCATGGTAACTTTATGAATAAAACATTGCTCACAAGGTGTAATAATGCTAATGTTAACTGTCAGTAGAACTAACGATGATGTGCGGTAGATTCTTTCGTCAAATTGATAGATTACACATGCATCGTTTTGGGAAGAGGATGTCAAGCCACATCAATACTTACCTGTATTAATGATTACCAGTAAATTAATCTTTGCAGTGGGACAATGGAAAAAAATACTCTGATTTTGTGGTATGTTGTATTCATGATGCCATATGAGTACAACATATTTTGATCCATTTATTTTGTTGAATAAACCTGGAGTACACAGCTGCTGATGTTCATTGTTAATCTTGTATGCCTGAATTATTTAAATTTTTGCAGCATTTGTTTATAAGAAATAAACCTATTATCAATGTATATTGTTGTTGTTTGTGATATTATCATATGCAATTGAATAAGTAGACCATTTCAGAATTCGAAATTTGGGACTCTCTAAATGCATAATGGGACTCATACTTTTCTGATCGAGTCCCTGGGACTCGCTGGGGGTAAACTGTAAAATTATCACTGAGTATGGCAATGTTCGTGATTTACTGTATTTTCACAACCACGTAGAGCTGGAGGCAACCCAAAAATAGGTGGAAGCAGCCATGTCTATCGGTCTGTTGTTTTAAATGCTGGAAAAACCCTGAATAATAAATTTTGAAATCATGTTTTGGCCCTGCAGGATCATGTGCGAGACGGTGCGCTATGAGAGACACGAAGCCAACGAAGTACTCTACTAGTAAGTACAAATTGGACTATGATGCTGTGATGTTTTTTGAAATGGATACTGATATGATATGACACCTTTTATGGAGATGTATTTAGTGTTCTCTGAACCTCATTTTGACGTGCAAGCCATTTGCGGCCAGACATGATTTAATAAGCACAAGTTTAAAAATGGTTACATGCATCTGCCTGTCTGGCTGAGTATCAGTGACGACCTAAAAGCAGACTCTCTTTTGTTTTGTGTTGAAATGTTGGGTGTGTTGCAGTTCCTTTGTTTTAAAAAGGGAAAGGAACGTGCAACTTGTTTCGTTTATTCTTCAGGCAAAAGCAGCAACAAAATATAGATGGTGCGTTATTTCTATTTTGATCGTTTTCGTTTGCGACTGTGTATGATTCTGAGTCATCCACCCATCCATTTTCTAATCCGCTTATCCTCACAAGGGCTGCGGGTGTTCTGGAGTCCATCCGAGTTGTCTTCAGGTCGTAGGTGGTGGGACACCCTGAACCGGTTGCTAGCCAATCATATTGCAAACACAGACGAACAACCATCCGCGCTCACACTCACACCTTCAGACAATTTAGTGTGTTCAGTCAACCTGCCACGCATGTCTTTGGAATGTGGGAGGAAACCGGAGTACCCGGAGAAAACCCACGCAGGCACGGGAATAACATGCAAACTTCACACAGGAAGGCCGGAGCCGGAATCTATTTTAAATTTAAATTTTTTAAATGTTTCTATTATGTTAGAATGGAATTATTTTTTTAATTTACCTATCTATTCATAATTTACCTGACCATGTTTTCTCGATTTTCCGCATGTTTTTAAAAAAATGTATTTAATGCATTCATTTTTATGTATGTTTATTTATTTCGAGTTTTATTTATTTTTAGTTATTAGATTTATCAGTGAATGTTTGTCAAGATTTAGTTTTGGTTGTATTTGTTTATTTTAATGCAGGGATCTCAAACTGATACTCAAGAGCCGCTTTCCCGAATGTTTTCCATCTCTCCCTGCTGCATCACACATGATTCAAATCATAGCTCTGCAGGAGCCTGGTAACAATCTTGATCATTTGAATCGGGTGTGTTGCATTCGGGAGAGTTGGAAAACAGCCATCAAGGACCGGAGTTTGACACCCCTGTCTTTTTGTACTGATAGATACTTTTGTTGTTGGTACACTGAAATCTCATCTACTGTGATTCAGGCTGCAAGTGCGTGTACCATGATGAGGTTGTTGCAATAAATCCATTCCACTAACAAATACTAATGCCAAAATTTACCAACAATTAAGAGAGAGTAATGATTATGTTGTGCATTTGAACAGAATGTGTAATTCTTTTTATCCTCTTACTGTAAATAATACGCTTGAATAGCCATCACGCGGTAAACATGTAAAAAATCTGGACAGATTTGGTTGTTAAATTCTATTGGTTGGCAGCCCCACTGTAGGATCTTTATTTAGTCAAAATGTTTTTTTTTTGTTTTTATACAGATCACATAACGCAGAATGACATTTACATAAGACCCAGTTAACAAGCCCATAGTACCCTCACAGTATCTGCATCATTGAGAGAGAGAGACAGAAGGATAGTTGTTGGTAAAGTGCTCATTTTCACACACACACACACACACACACACACACACACACACACACACACACACACACACACACACACACACATTGAGACACACATACACAATCCGAAGCTTATGAGAAAGTGCCTATGCAGCGAAAAAGCCTGAACCCTGCAGGATTTACCGTCCGCAGATTACAGTGCTCTCGTAGATAAGAGGCTGACCTGACACTTTTTTTTTTTTCTTGAGGTTGCTATCTTTTGATCCGCCTTTTAAACTCTTCGGTGTCACCCTTTGCAAGTATACTAGCGTGCAGCCATTGCTTGTGTTACTTGCTTCTTCGGTATTTTGCCAGTGTAATTTGACGTGGTAATGGAGCAGCACCGACAAATAATAAGAAAACCCTTTTAAAACTCTTTTGAGTATGTTGATGACATAATTCACAGTGTGAAGAAATCCTTAATATGTCTTAAACTAGATTTATTTTTTTTATTTTTTTATTTTAATCATCAAATCCGCCCTTAAAAGAAAATAGACCATTAAACGGCAGTTGACATACCAAAAACGTTGCACACATTTCTTAAAATTATATTTTTGTATTATCCTCAGTAAGGTGGCTTCCTATATTTTGTTGTTCCACTTCTTCCTTTCATAACTTTGCTGCTGTGAATTGGGAATTTCTCCATTGCGAGACTAATAAAGGTTTCCTTATCTTATCTTATCTTAAAAAGTCCTACAGTTGTTTTCCTTTTACCCGGAATGAACAAAAACTATATATTTTTTGAAAATATTAAGAACAATTAGTTTTTAAGGGCTGAATTTTGACATGTATTGAGATTTCAGATTCAATAATACTATGTCCCCGTTTACTTACACACACACACACACACAAACACACACAAACACACACACACACACACACACACACACACACACACACACACACACACACGAAAAACGTTTGCATAATTTTGCTCCCTTGCTGTAGGCGACGTGAACCTGACCATCACTGTACCACCAAGATACGTCCCGAATGAGGATTTAATAAAGGTGTGCTGCTGCAGAGGCCTGTGTTGATGTAGACCTCAGCTGCTGCCATTTTTTTCCTCTTCAAGCCGCCCACGGAATAGAGAAAAAGTCGCTGCAGTGCATTCAAATTGTTTCCAAACAAACATTACTTGATAGACTTCTTTTTGTAGATGATGTCAAGCACTCAAAAGTTAGACGACAGCCTTGTCAATCCGAGGCTCCCCCATGTGCGTCAAACAAACTTTTACCTTGGTATATTTTCGCTACGGCGTCCGATGTAGCGATTGTGTCAAACTTCTCACCATCTTTTCAGTCAAAAGTAAACACAAACGGACTTTGTTTGTTGACGCTTTTACTTGGTTTTTGTGTTTTTGTTTTTTGGGAGAGGTGGGGTGGAAGAGCTGCCTAAGTATGGAATAAGAAATAACATTGTTAAATTTATTACAGTTACCTATTTTTTATTACAAGCCTGGCCGATCTCCGTTGGATACATGATTGGAAGTGATTTGGCCGAATTCCGTAGTTGGAGTTCTGAAAAATACAAGCTTTGGAATTCTCTCAAAATGGTTGCACAAAACCAAAATGGCTGACTCACTGTTCAATTTCGGTCATGGGTCGTTGAGATTTGTCTGTCTAAGACAGTGTTTTTCAAACCCTGTGTCACATTGTCAGGTGTGCCGCGGTAAAATATCCAAAATTTGTATGCCTGTGAAATGCTCAGAAAGTAATCGTGTGCTACCCTCCCATACCGCTAGGGAGCAGCAACAGCTAGCCAATTGCCTTGTGTTTTGACCACAAGAGACAAGCTAATTTGTGCCGCATGAATGCAGGACGACAGTGAAACAATATCAAAGATTATAAAATACTTTTTTCTTCGTGTTCATTTGATTTCAATTCAAGCTGTTATAGCGTCATTCTTCAATGTTTAAAATGGTTAAAGTAACAATATATCACGTTAATTGTTAAAATAAGCGTTTTTTTTCACATTTTCAGCTAGTGGTGTGCCGCGAGATTTTTTTCAATGAGAGAAGTGTGCCTTGGCTCAAAAAAGTTTGAAAAACACTGGTCTAAGATACCTACTTTCTATTTGCGCTCATTTGGGCACGTTCACAAGTAGGCGTTCATAAAAGTACAAGTCCAAAATGGCTACTTTAGTCCAAAATAGACAATTTTCTGTTCACTTTCAAGCATGGATTTCTTAAAGTAATCCCAAAAAATAAAATGTTTAGTTTTAGAGGAATATTTTATTTCTACCATTTTGTTCCAACTACAATTTTAGCATTTTAAACTGTAATCGACCTACATAAAAGCAAAATAAAGTAAAACTAAATTAACTATGAAGTGTGCATTTGCTAGCCAAAGAGGTGCTAAATGATGGCTAGTGTGTATGACATAATACTGTTATTGCACTTAACCTAATAAAACAAACTACTAACGTTGCACTTTTGTTGAAAGCTGAAAACAACTGTTGGTATTCTTCCAAAAAATAAAAACTGTTGTCATATTTTTCCAAAAAGAAGACACTAATGTCACTATTGCCTGAAAAGAATACAAATTATTGTCGTTATGCTTTAAAAAAAAAAAAAAAAAAGAGAAACCTTTATTGTTCGTCCCCACAAAAAAAAAAACTGTGTGTGTGTGTGTGGGGGGGGGGCGGTTGAGATGTTTGTGACTGGAGAAACATTCCTGTCGCCAAGCATGCAACGAACAATCGTGTCAACTGAAAGAAAGCGAAGCATCCCTGGCCGGCATTCCGCATTGGCTGCATCGTAACATACACATGGCCCAATTCAGTCAAACTGTCGCCGTGTTCGCTTGCGACAATTGCTTTCAACACGGCTTGTTTGAGAAGTGAATGTCAGTTAGCAAACTTCACAACCATGTAATAGCATCATGGAACACCCCCATCCCATTTCGGCTCCGATGGCAGACTGTTGCCCGGGAGACTTTCTCAACTTGTCCAAATGTCTCTGACTTAGTGCTTCACTGAATTATTTTTTTTCCAAATTGTTGATCCTTTCTAAAATTTGAGGGTTTTTTTTCCTGGTGTTTGTGTCATTTCCATCAGATATTTTGGTATTACTTCTGTATTATTAATTAATCACAAAGATTTTCTTATTTTACAAATGTTTCATATATTGTCACATTTTGTTTTTCCCAAATATGATTATTTTCTCTTGCTTATGTATTTTTCCTGTTTTTGTCATGTGTGGTATTGTATGATTCAGAACATCTTCCCATTTTTTTTCTGTTTGTGGAATGTTTGTATTTTTGCCATACGTGTGCTTTTTGGGGATGTATGCATTCTTCACTGAAAATGCATGTATTTTCCAATAATTTTTATATTGTCACTATATATTATTTCCCAAATACTGTGTATATTCTTTCCTCTTTGTCATTTTTTTTCAAATATTTTTTTCATATATTTTTGCAAAACCTGTTTTTCTCTGCCTGATTTTTTCCACCTAATTTGCTAATTTTATTTAGAATGTTTGCATTTTTCTATTATCTGAATCATTTTTGTGTTATTTCGCTGTACATCACATTTTTTCTTTTTTTTTTACTTGTTTTTTTTTCCCAATTCTAGTATGTGCATATGTTAACTATTTGTTTACTTATGACTTATGTACATTATAAGCCTCAAGACTTCCCTACTTAGTTTGACAAAGTTTCCCATTGTTTTGAATCGTGGTCAATGCAAAGAGGCTTTCTAAACGCCACAAAGAAATCTTGGCCTTGCCAATTCCTTATCACACTTTTTCACACTCCATACACACTCTTCCATAGACGCAGTCCAAGTCGCTTATTGGGTGTCTCCCAACTAATAATGTCGTTGTTCACCGCAGGAGCTGCTTTTGAACTAGAAAAGTCTGGAGATTAACTTGTCAAAATGTTCCCGCCGGCAGAGTGCGTGTGCATTTGTTTGGCAATTATCTGCAAAAGGCTGTGCCAGCCAACAGCGGCGGCGGTGGCATCATCATCACGCCGGGTCACCGCGAGTTTACTCCCGTCTGTGCTTCCTCGTCTCCTCGGGCGCTGTAATGGATGTGGGCGGATGTAGACGCGCTCGACGGTTCATTCACAGTTCTCCCGTCTGCACTCCCTGACACTTATTTCAAAATGCAAACCCTTTGTATTACGGGCTCAAATTTCAATTGTAGTTGCTTGCTAGCTTAGTGTTTGTGTAGCAAATAAATGGAGAACGAGATATGAATCGTAGGAAATGACGAAGAGGATAACAGCGACAAATTGTCAGACATATTATGATTACTGATATTTTGTTTTTGATGATATCTTTCCAACAATGTGTTTGTCCCTGTTGAAGTATTTTTCTTTTTATTTAATCTTTATCACTGAATTGTGGTCAGTGCAAGTGAATATGTATGTACTTGATCCCATGTGTTGGAATTTGCACTAATTTTCTATGTTGATGATGTGTTTTTTCTTATCTCGCAGCCCTGATGACATTGGAAGCTGCTGGTACATCCTTTTGTCAGGTTCCGTGTTCATCAAGGAGTCCATGTTCTTGCCCAGGAGCAGGTATGTTGGCCACATTTTAGTTTTGCGGAGTGGGGGGGTGGTCATTGACTGTGTCTTTTAAAGTATTTGTCTTTTCTGATTAGCCTACTAGCTTTGTTCTGAAAAACAGCAGCTATTGTTGAACCGACCAACGTGGGCGATCGTTTTTCTACATTGCGTAACTCACAAAGGAGCATTCGCAGGACCTGTTTGCGGTCCTTTGAGAGGGCGTGAATCGCTCGACGGTCATTCTGTGGATTCACAAGGAAGGGTGGGTGTGTTGGGGTTGGGGAGTGGGTTTAAAAGCATGAAAAACTGAATGATAACCTTATAACTTTATTGTTAAGGTGAAAGTGTGTGTAAGCAGGATGAGGAATTGCAGGTATTATTAGAACCAAGTGGATGCTACTACTTTTACTATTAATACATTTTTTAACTGCTTATTCTTATCATGGTACCCGAAGTAACAATATGGATGGCATCCAGTTTGAAAAACATAGATAATTATTGAATCGTCTTTTATTGGAGAGATATATCTTAGAAGGCAATGGCATATTTCCAGGACTGACATCAAATGTACTGTTTTAAAAGGTGTCGTGTCAGTTACAGGTGCTATTTCTGTATTTAACGCATACACACAGCGTATTGTATTATTGGACGCAGCCATGATAAAACGTACGCAAGCTTAAAAAATATGCTAGCATGCATGCACGCTAGTGGTTGTACTTTATTGAAATATGAAACAATGTACTGACGTTATTTTTTTTGTTCAATCCTCATCCTCAAAATCATCAAAGTACGAATCTTCTGTATCCGAAATGAACAGCTGGTTTCAAAATCAAACACACCATGTTCCTTCGTTTCTTTGTCAAGAGTCCGTCTCGTGTTTGTGCGTTCATTGCAACCAAGCACAACAGTAAAAGCCGACTTCGCGCGCCCTGTGGAGCATATCGTTACTATGCTGGTCCCCTTCTTCTCTACAGTGTGGTTCACCGGGATGTCGAAAGTGAGCGGCACCTCAACCATTTTGGTGATGTGGTTGGGCGGTTTTGTGGTTGGTTGGTAATCATTTCAAAATCCAAGTATGCTTGTCCTTCATCACTTGCCGTAGTCCAAGCGGTTTGTCGGAATGTGGGGATCGGTTGAGAGAACAGTCACTAATGGAAGTCAAATGACGCTGTCAGAACGGCAGAATGAAGGATAAACATCTCCAATAAAGTGTCTTTATTTAATGTAATGCAGAGCATTGCACTTTTTACTGCATTAGGAATGGAAAATGGCCAACTTTTCCTTGTAATCCACCGGATATTGCTGGACCATGGTCATTCTTGCCCGGATGGATGGATGGCACCGTTTCAGAAAACAAAAGCACCATGGATTAGTTGGTCTTGAATTCACGCTTGGCTGCTCGATTCCCATGGTCTGCCGCGTAACTGATTATACAGAAATTATTATAATTAGAACTATACTTTGTAAGTGTGTCTCTTTGTAGGTGCCATTTTTTGGGATGTTGTTTTGCACAATGTACTGAGGGTGTGCCTTTCGCCTCCTTTTTCACGCCCACCCTACCCACTTTAACATCAGCATGCTGTCCTCAGTTACCTCCCTCCGTCTTTCCTCGATACAAGCAGCGTGTCGGCATGACATCGGTCAGTCAAGCGGACCCCTCATCAATGTCACACAACAGCATTCACAGATTTTGGAACTTGGTGCATACACAAGGTGACCAGCATTATTCGGCATCCCGTCCTTTTTGGAGAAAATTGATCACTTTGAAGCGCGCCTTTTGGTCATGAAGATATGGCATGTAAAATGACCCCCCCCCCCCCCCAAAAAAAAAGTAATTGCATCATACGTCTCTAACTGAGCTACAACATACTAAATCGTAATCTCTTACCGAATTTAATGATTCCAATCGAACAGTCCTTGATACGTTGCGCACCCCATGTATCGAAGTCTGTATTGAATCGTCTTTTGTGGAGAGAAATGCATCCCAAAATAACAAGGTAAAGGAGTGGAGTGTGGGACAAAGTGTTGTGGGATTCAAGTAGGGTAAGATAAGATAAGATAAGAAAACATTTATTTGTCTCACAATGGAGAAATTCCCAATTTCAGCAGCAAAATTATGAAAGGGAGAAAGTAGAAGACAAAATGTATCGAAATAAATATAATTATAAAATATAAATATAAGCATATTAAAAATGGGTGAGTGGGGGTGAGTCCAGGTTTTCAGGACAGTCTATTCAATAGCCTGACAGCAGTCGGCAGGAACGAGCGGCAGTACCTCTCCTTCTTGCAGCATGGGTGTATCAGTCTCCGGCTGAAGGAACTGCCCAGTGCTGTCAGGGTGGCCTGGAGGGGATGAGAGGGTCTGTCCATCATACCTGTTAGCTTAGCTAGCATCCTCCTGTTGTGGCTAAGCGGAGTCTGTGGGAGTTTTAGCCAAAATTGCAAACTTGGAATCCCTCAACTCTGATATCTCTGGATAAAATCTCTCTGTCTCGACTCGGAAATACGATGGCACCTCAGCTGAAATAGGTTTTTGACGAATTACTGAAAAGGAGTCCAGCGAAACATCTTCATGGAGCTTTTAACGGCACTGTGTCAGTGGGTTTCAAATGGGGTTTCTTCTTCATTCAGCGGAGCCAGCCAACAATGAATGACTCATTAAGCGAAGACGTTTGTTTATCCCACAGGCTAGCGCAACATCAAACCTAACCCAGATAAGCCAAGCCTGACAAGTGGGTGACACACATTCAAAACGTGATTACGCATGTGCTACAGTAGTAACCGGGCAATTTCAAATGAATGCAACTTACTACATAAGTTAAGTCAAGGCTTATTTAGATTCTGATATGCTAAGCCAAAAATCATGGCTTGTGGTTTTAGGACATTAAAAAAAGGGCATCCCTCCATTCTCTCGGTCGAGAAAAATGCAACATTAGCAGTTTCCCTTTTTAGGAAAGTGTGAAATCAGTAGGGCGGCCCGGTAGTCCAGTGGTTAGCACGTCGACTTCACAGTGCAGAGGTGCCGGGTTCGAATCCAGCTCCGGCCTCCCTGTGTGGAGTTTGCATGTTCTCCCCGGGCCTGCGTGGGTTTTCTCCGGGTACTCCGGTTTCCTCCCACATTCCAAAAACATGCATGGTAGGCTGATTGAACACTCTAAATTGTCCCTAGGTGTGAATGTGAGCGTGGATGGTTGTTCGTCTCTGTGTGCCCTGCGATTGGCTGGCAACCAATTCAGGGTGTCCCCCGCCTACTGCCCGAAGACGGCTGGGATAGGCTCCAGCACCCCCCGCGACCCTAGTGAGGATCAAGCGGTTCGGAAAATGAATGAATGAATGAAATCAGTATTTTGTTTGTCCTCTATGTAGCAAAGTGTAACATTAGCCATTTTGTTTTTTCGGAATGTGCAACATCACAGTTTGTCTTCTTTTTAGGAAAATATAAAAATTATTTTGTTTGCCTTTTTGGGAAACTTCAACAACAGTTGTCTTCTTTTGAGGAAGGTCCAAGGACGGTAGTCTGTCTCTTTTGTAAAAGTCCGTCTCAAATGAGGGAGGGTGGGGAGTGGTTCATGTTGTCTCGGAACATGTTTTATATATATTTTTGTTGTTGTACTATCATAAAGTGCAATTACACATTTACTACTGTAGGTGGCAGTGGAGCGCTCATGGTCAGTGTGTTCTCAGTGAGTCTCAGCTCCCCTGCAGAGGTGTACCTCGAACAATTTTATCGACAATTGTTGCTAAGTATAGTCGCAGCCAAGAGTTTGAGTGAGGGGAGGGGAGAGTGGGGTGCAAAATGTTTTCTTTCTGTGGGGGTAATAAAAAATAGAGGAGCACAGTTTTATTGGAAAGTACACTATCATCAATAATTGTACTTCTATTTCAGGAAGTTAACAGTTTTTCTTCTTTTTAGGAAAGTGTGGCAACAGTAATTTGTTTATAATAGTACAATGTCAAGAGTTTATTCTTTTTAGGATAGTGCATCATCAGTGACTTGTATTATTTTTAAGAATGTATAAAATCAGTAATTTATTTTCTTTTTGGGAAAGTACAACATCAGTAGTTTGTCTTTTTAAGGAAGTGCCACATCAGCAATTTCTTTTTTTCGGAATGTTCAACATCAGAACTGTAGTTTGTCGTTTTTTTTTTTTTTATTTGTCTTAGGAAAGTGCTACAATTTTTATGTGTAGTTCTCCTTAAAACATGGTTTAAAAAAATCTGCACTACAGGAGTTAAGTTTTGACAAGCGAAGGTCTAATAGCCTTTTACGCTGTCTTAATTTTAATTTGAATTCCAGTAGAAGTATCACTGATGAAAAGCATTCCACTCATTCTGAATTTGGTTTCACTTCCTACATTTATTGACTTTATTCACCATTATCAGCTGACTGGCACTGGTCTGGTCTTGAATTCGTAGAAAATACATCACTTCCTGTCTAGGCGAGTAAAAGTAAATCAGCAGGCTGATGGGAACTCAGCCAAGGAATGTTACGCCATGACCTGCTGCAGGAAAGGTTAGCAGAGTTCACGCTAGTTCTTGTCAGTCGTGATGCAACAACCCACAAAAATACTTTATTTTTCTAAACTTGTATTCTCTCATAGCGCAATCTTTCTCATTTGCATTTCAACAATTTCACTTTGTAAGTGGAGGCGGAAAAAATTGGTGGCAAATGGGGATATGCCACATGTGCCAGGATGATGCATGTAACTTTGAAATAACACATTGAGTAACTTGTGAGGGTAAATATTTTACGATGATTTAGTCTCATCTTGGTCATGTTTTTAATAGCACATAGTGAAGTGTGAGAGTGCATTTGTCACGTGGCCATGTTGACATGTTCCTTTTTTTTTTTTTTTTTTTTTTGTAAGGGCATTTTGGGGAAAGGGTGGGTGCACCAACTGACCTAGTATCGTATGTGGAACTTTATAACCATGTAGTGGAACAAAAGATTGCATTTGTCCCATGTTTTGGTTAGATTTTTTTGGGGAGGGTGCACTGACACTGGGAATGTT